GAGGAGGAGGAGGTTGATGATGGGGAGGGGTGAGGAGGTTGATGATGGGGGGTGAGGAGGTTGATGATAGGAGGAGGAGGTCGATGATGGGGAAGAGGAACAGAAAGAGGAGGAAGTTGAGGAGGAAGTTGAAGATGATGATAATGATAAGGAGGTTAATAAGGATAAGGAGAGGAAGAAGAGGAGGCGAAAGAGGAGAAGGACGAAGAAGAGAAGGAGAAAAAGAAGAGAAAGAAGAGGAGGGAGAGAAAGAGGAGGCGACCCCCCTCCCTCAGTAAGTGTGGCTTAACTCCTTAATTACCCGGTCGAGGTCTTGCCCAACTACTTTACTTTTATTGGCCAAACATCCTCGCCAGGGAGCCATTGTGGGGAGAGGCAGCCAGGGCGTGTGAGGGAGGGAGGGAGGGAGGGAGGGAGAGAGAGAGGGAGAAGTGCGGGAGAGAGGGAGGGAGAGAGGGAGGGAGAGAGGGGAGGTTAAGGATGAAGAAACAATTATTAGACAGATACTATATATCCACACTTCATCCACCAATACCTATCCACACTTTATCCACCAATACCTATCCACGCTTCATCCACCAATACCTATCCACACTTCATCCACCAATACCTATCCACACTTCATCCACCAATACCTATCCACACTTCATCCACCAATACCTATCCACACTTCATCCACCAATACAAATCCACACTTCATCCACCAATACCTATCCACACTTCATCCACCAATACCTATCCACACACCCACACATTTTTATCATCTCACACAACTTATAAAATCCCGTTTATTTTTGGTTCTAACATTAAATAACTTTCAAACGTTGTGTTATATTCAGGTGATGTCAATTAGCTTTCACCTGAGCATTAGCCCCGGGAATTCCCTAAGGGCTACGCATGTTGAATATGTCTGTTGGAAAAAAAAGAGGGAAAGAACTAGAATACTTCAGGGTCAAGGGATAAAAGATCAGGGGTTAAGTGTGAGGGGTCAGAGGTGAGGGGTTAAGGGTGAGGGGTTAAGGGTGAGAGGTTAAAGGTGAGGGGTTAGGGGTGAGGGGTTAGGAGTTAAGGGTGAGGGGTTAAGGGAAAAGGGATAAGGGCTAAGGTTAAAGGTGAGGGGTTAAAGGCCAGGGACTAAGGACCAGGAGTTAAGGGTGAGGGGTTAAGGGTTACTGGTTAAAGTGTCAGGGGTTAAAGGCCAATGGTTAAGGGTGTCGGTAAGATCAAAGTCTATAACACGAAGCCCATACTTACAAACTTCTTCCGAATTCCTGAGAAAAACTTATATTTTTTCTCACTATTAGCGATAAATTTACGATACTTTACGAAAAACCAATATAACTTACGATAACTTAACATAAACTTAAGATAATATACAATTACTTTACATAACTCAAAGTAATTATTATTATTATTATTATTATTATTATTGTTTTTATTATTTTTATTATTATTATTATATACTTGAAGTACAAGACAATACTATAAACTTCCAAAAGAACTTCTCCTGGACCCCGAGAGAGAGAGAGAGAGAGAGAGAGAGAGAGAATAGGTATAACTCAGGTATTCGTCCCTCACAAATAGGACTTACAACTATGCTATTGGACATTGATGGTATCGATCACCTATAATGATGCTTACCTGGGTACTGACGGAGGAGGGTAAGGGTGTGGCAAGGGGCAGGGGACAATGGAGGCGTAAGGGGGGGGGATCAAGCTGTGAAGGGTCAGTGTTGGGTTTGGCTGTGGGAGAGTGCGTGATAGTGTGGGTGGGTGGGTGGGGGGGTGCGTTTGGTTACGCTAGGACTTACTTTTATTAACAGAACAGAAAAGATTACCGTAATCGCGTGAATAAAGTAGTACTCAATAACAGCATTTCAATTATGGACTTTTAATGCCATTTTTATCATTTTGGTTATATAACTTATTCGTTCATGTGTCGTGTGTTCGACTTTCAGTGCACTCATTTACCCAGCGGCAATTAATATTATCGTTTTCTTTCAAGGACACAACTTTTCTATAAAACAAACATTACAGAGGTTAAAGGTACGATATCGGAACATTATCGTCATCTTGGAGGTTACAGCTTCTTTAGATACCATTAAATTACACGAAATTTTATCTTTAACTCCAAGTGGATAATATTCAGATATTATAACATTAATCTCCGTCTAAAATAAAGAAAATGGAACCCACCTCAGAAAACGGGACAGATGACGGGAGAATATGCTGTCAGACGCTAGCAAGTCACCCAAGGACAGGTTACTAATACCTCCAATTGCCAGAACCAGGAAGTGAATTTAAACGGAGATAATTTGATATTTTTTCACCCTAATATTTAAGACAATAGCGACATTAATAATTAAATAGTATATAATCACCGTTGGAAATGGGAGTTATTAGTATAGTATTTTCCATTTGTTTTCTGCCTTTGTATTACGCTCTTCGCCAAATAGTACACTTAAATTAATGTTACACACTTGTTGATTCTGTTCGATAAGTACGTTTCTCTTTTACACTTAAATCTGGTTCTTAAGTAAAAAAAAAGTATTGTTATACACTTAAAACTGTCAAAAATAGTACTTACTCTTACTTAAAATTGTTCCATTAGTGAAAAAATGCACTTATTGCTTACACTTATTAAACAGTTGAGTAACACCAACACTTATTGTTCACAGTTACATATTGTTTACAAGTAAGAACATGTATAATGTACCATTTCACACTTAAAAACAATAATGTGAAAAATACACTAAATGTTTACACTTAGGAACGGTAACATCTCGTCCCTTCACCACCACAGATCCAACTAACGACGGGACCCGGCCATGTGACACGCTGAGGACGGCGTTTAATAAGAGGTTGTTTGCTCGTTAACGTCTTGTTTCAACTACTGGCGGGAACCAATAGGATCTCTTCCGCCCTACACCTCTTTAGTATTCTCTTTAAAACTTGTAAGTTACTTTTTTTTTAATCTTACGTGGGATATGATGAAGTGCTTATTTACGATATGTTATTAGCGATTTTACTTAATTTGGGGGATCAGTTTATCGTAGTGTAAGGGAGGTAGTTGAAGCCTTATGAGAGAGAGAGAGAGAGAGAGAGAGAGAGAGAATAATCTGAGACGTATTTTGTCAAGTATTTTATAATATCCTACTCACTCGTGACTGTCAAGGGATACCGGGTCCCACAGTCTTAAAAATGACGCACCGGAACACAGGCGACCCAAACACACGCATATCCCTACCACCCCCCTATACCCACCCGCCCACCCAAGGGAGCCGAACAACCCCTCCCTGCACCTCCTATACTCACTCGCCCACCCCCTCCTTCAGATCTCCTGCCCCAAGGGTAAATCACCAACTAATCATAGTAATGAGGAGCTTAGCTGTCCCGGGGTTCCTTTTGTTTCGTGTGTGTCTCTCGCTACAATGGGCCACAGATTACGCTCAATTATTAATTTTAATGACGCGAATATATTAACGTTGCTTTGGGATTCTGTACCAACGAGGCTCTTGTTGTGTGTGTGTGTGTGTGTGAGTGTGTGTGTATTGTGTGTGAGTATGTATACGTATATAAGACCTTTACGTGTGTTTAAAGAGGAAATTTTTGAGGGAAAGAGACGTAATGTAGGTTCGAACATTTTTATATATTGTGTAATGTATCGAACAATTTAGTCTTGTATATTTTAGATTCGCGTTTAATTTAATAAAAACAAAAACTAAATAAATATTCATATAAGCTTCCTCTTACATACGAGTCGATAATATTGTACACCTATTTCTTTCTGTTTTGTTGTGTCACCCTAACATTGGCTCATTCAGTGTTCAGATTTAACCTTAACGGCCAATAAAATTAACTTTTTGTCATTAAGAGTGATAGTGATTGGTTGTTGTTTTGTTGTCATGTTATAATTTGTCTTTTTATTTCGTCTGTGTTCAGAAATACATCGCTAGTTTTCTTTGCTCTATACTGAACATAATTTACTCAAAGTTATCTTACGAGTTACTGATGTATTTCACCAACTGATCAGTATTTTATTAATTTTACAGAGAGAGAGAGAGAGAGAGAGAGAGAGAGAGAGAGAGAGATGAAAACAGAAACGGAAATAGGAAGGTAAAGGAATACTGAGAGAGAGGAAGAGAGAGAGAGAGAGAGAGAGAGAGAGAGACTGTACTTTATGGTAACCTTCTAAGACTTCAGGAAAGCTTTCAGGTGTCGGTCAGAAGGTTAATGAGGGACACACCTGGTGAAGGGAAGTTTTTAATGAGGTGACAGTCTTACTTACCTGTTCTCTCACTTACCTGGTTTTCTCTCCTGTCTCACTTCTCTGATCAAGTTCTCAAGGCATCGTAGGTAGAGAATTGCACCAGTCTTTATTTGGCCTAACCTAACGTAACCAAACCCAACGTAACCCAACCAAATCTAACATAACCCAACCAAAGTTTAATTTACTCAAGACATAAACTAACCTAATCAGGCTTAAACCCGATCTAACTCACCCTAACCTTGATAAAACCTAACCTAACCTAAATGAGAAGAAGCTAGTGTGGGATTTTGTTCACTGAGAAACCATTTTGTGGGTTTTTTCAAGTGGTATTTTGTCTCGTGTTATATTTACATAATATTGTGGGTATTTATTTTCCAGTGGGGATTTTATTCAGCTAAATTAAGGGATTTTTTGGGGATTTTTCTGCAGTGGGATTTTACTATGGGAGAATGTAGGAATTTTTCTTCAATACTGGGATTTTATTTACTGTGTGATAGTCAAGCATCTGTTTGGATCTTTTCAGTGTTTTATTTCCAGTGGGATTTTTTTTCTCATTAAGATTTTTTCTCTGGATTCGTTTTTTTTCTTCAGTGTTTTTTCAACTATACATTTTTTTCAGTAGAACAAAATTTTTCTTCTGACTCTCTCTCTCTCTCTCTCTCTCTCTCTCTCTCTCTCTCTCTCTCTCTCTCTCTCTCTCTCCACCACAACAGGTTAATAAAACACACAGGAAAACTTTTTATCACGATTTTTTTTTCTCATTAGATATTTATTTGAAACAATCGACAGGAACTTCTCAAGAACAACCTTTCCTTATGTCACTGTATTATTTTCTGTAGTTATCATCAAATACAAATGAAGGACACACACACACACACACACACACACACACACACACACACACACACACACACACACACACACACACACACACACACACACACACACACATACCAGATAATTTGTTATATAATTTTGACAATCTATTTACAAACATAACTTAGATAATTGAACACAAAATTATATTTAAATAACATGAGTGAATGTCAATTAATTCTTTCTTTCTTTTTATATATACAAAAGAATATATAGCATGAAGCAGTGGGACATTGGTAACACCTGTCAGTCTTAACCTTGGTAACACCTGTCAGTCTTAACCTTGGTAACACCTGTCAGTCTTAACCTTGGTAACACCTGTCAGTCTTAACCTTGGTAACACCTGTCAGTCTTAACCTTGGTAACACCTGTCAGTCTTAACCTTGGTAACACCTGTCAGTCTTAACCTTGGTAACACCTGTCAGTCTTAACTAGTTGCAATAGACTGTAGGGAGACAAGCTGTGAGGAACCTCCATGGTATGTATGTATGTATGTATGTATGTATGTATGTATGTATGTATGTATGTAAGGTATATAGTTCAGACTGTGTGTGTGTGTGTGTGTGTAAATTCATGTTCCATCTCATAAACAACAACGTCAGTACGAGCATTCAGTAGCGCCTGGCAGAACATATCCAGGCGTATGTTCGCTCGCCTGCTGCATGTACTGGCGATCTTTTTTTACATGACAAATGTGATCAGAAACTTAAACAACCTTGTTATTATGTCAGCCCCGGTACTAGGTCAACCCCGGTACTAGGTCAACCCCGGTACTAGGTCAACCCCGGTACTAGGTCAGCCCCCGGGACTAGGTCAGCCCCGGTACTCAGGTACAGCCCCGGTACTAGGTCGGTGTCAGGTACTAGGTCAACCCCGGTACTAGGTCAGGTACTAGGTCATCCCGGTACTAGGTCAACCCACTATGTCAGCCCAGTACTAGGTCAGTACTAGGTCAGCCCCGGTACTAGGTCAAACCCGGTACTAGGTCAACCCCGGTACTAGGTCAACCCCGGTACTAGGTCATCCCCGGTACTAGGTCATCCCCGGTACTAGGTCAACCCCGGTACTAGGTCAACCCCGGTACTAGGTCAACCCCGGTACTAGGTCATCCATATTACTAGACCAGCTCCACAATCAATACTACTAATATCAATATCTATGAGGGGAGGAGTCTGAGGTTAGGCGAGAACTGTAGAGGGAATAAATACCTTATACATGCAACCAACCAGCTATTATTAGTATCATTATTATCATTATTAATATTTACACTTATGCTCTCTATGTACGAGGAAGTGGGATTGGGGGAAGGAGAGGGAGGGAGAGGGAAGGAAAGGGGGGAGGGAAAGGGGGAGGGAAGAGGGAAGGAAAGGGGGATTAAATATATATGTATAGAAAAAATACACAAGGCATCACATCTTCATCACTATTAATATGTTTATATACAACGTCCGATGAGCTTAAGACGGCAGACACAGCATATTGGTGACGTCACTTTGGCAGAAGGAACACAAACAAACAAATATTGGTGGTGGCGAAGTCAAGAATCAACGATATCGAACACAGTGTTTGTAAATCATGGCGGTGGTGGTGGTGGTGGTGTTTACGAGAGAGAGAGAGAGAGAGAGAGAGAGATAGAGGTCAAAGCTCCACTAGAAAAGGTCAACAAGGTGATGGGTGGTGACCTATAATTCCTTGTGCTTGACCTGTGTACCAGCTCAATCAACCACCACAGTTAACCACCAAAAACAACCATTTAACCACAATTCATCAACATTTAGCAACCAATATTCAAGATCAACCCCATTTTCACACCATTTTACTCAACCAAGCACCAACCATAACCAGAAACCATTATCTACCATTAACCAGCGTCTACCATCGTCCGTGGGTTTGTGCGTCTGTCCAGTATGTCCAAGAGTCCGTGTGTATGGTACGTAGGTCCGTGGGTCAGGTCCGTGGGTCTTGTCCGTGGGTCTACGATCGTCATGGGCTTAAGATCATACATAAGATCTGATAGGAGACCCCTTCCCCCCCTTCCCCCTTCCCCCTCACCTATGCCATGAGGAAGGGGGGAGGGGGTAAGGGGAGGGGGAGGAGGAGGAAGAAGTCACCATCATTATCACTATCATCACCAACACCATTTCTACTACCATTATCACCACTATTACTACCACCAACACCATCATCATCATCACCACTACTACTACTATCACTATTATCACCATCAACACCACCACTACTACCACCATCAAGAACTACCACCACCACCACCACCACCCCCACCTCTTCTACAACTACTACCACCACCACCACCATCACCACCACCACTACCACAATCCACCACTGCGGCTACTGTGGCAATGAACACACACACACACACACACACTCCTCTCAGTAAAACCACCACAATCTAATATACCTTAATATATTACTAGTAAACTCTGTCAACAAAACACACCACACGGGGCCCCCCTAAAAAAAATCATGTACGTCCCCAAACAACTAGAGGGAAACTCCACAGGCCAATCAAAGCGAAGACTAATCTGATGCTGGTATGTGAGTGGCTGCTGCGGGAGGCGTTGGAGGTTTCGTCGTAGTTAACGTGGCCAAGACTCGGGTGAAGGAAGATATCTGAAACATCATAAAAAACGGAAAATTGAGTTTTAATGGCGGACTCAAACAGATATAAAATTAATTTAGGTTTATGGCTACACTACCTTACTCTGAGATTATTATCCTCCCTCCTCCAGGTCATAAAAGGAGGTTTAGTTTTACTGAGTAATTAAAAAAGAGATACAATAAAGTTTAAAATGATTCTTTCTCACGTACGATTAATGTGTATCCTCCTGTGGCCTAAGATTATCAAAACATGACTATTTTTCTCCCCTCTTGTCAGTAATAATAAAGGAATAAGAGACAGAGAATAAAGAGAACAATAAAGAAGAATAAGTGTAATAACAAGAACATAAAACAAACATGATAAACACAACAAAACATACAAAATTTTGACTTCGTTATATTCAAACTTCTTCACTGACGTTAATAGTGAATAGTGATGCTCTCTTACCTTATATATAGTGCTAGGGGGTATAGTGAGTGATGGTGAGGTGTATTTAACTCTTGTGTAAGTGGTTATGGTGAGATGTTATGTAACCTGGAGTTAATGTGTCTTTTATTCCTCTGTTTATAAGATGGAGTGACGTAATAATGTGTGTGTAATAAAGTAACTGTGAACTGGACCTGTGATTGTATACTAAACTGGTAACTGTGAACAAGGATTAATAACTGAACTACTGTCATTCCTTTAACTACCCTGCACAAATATTTCTTAAACTATACCAAAATAAAGAAATAATCACCAACCAATATAAACAACAACAACAAATTGAGTAGATAAAAAAAAAAAAAAAATCCAAAGTTAGTGGTCAATTTTTTTCCGTTTTCTTTGGTAGTGAACCGAACATGCAAATTAAAAACAAATATGGAAGGTGTCAGTCATTCACACAGAC